GGTGACATATGCATTATGTCTATTTGATATTCATATCGTGCGAATGGAGCGGTATAGGAATTAGTACCTCTATAATTTTTGATTTGTTTATTTGGTTGTTTCTTTAAGAAAGACTTTACATCGTCTATTGTTATTGTTGGGTCTTCTTCCTTTGCCTTCTTGTGTGTCGCTTGTATGCTTCCGAAACCCTCGTCTAAGTCGTAATAGATGTTGCTGATTATTTGGTCTTTTGTTAATCTCGCCATTATATTAAATTGTTAGAAAATATATTTTTCAATATAAACCCCCACCCCTTAACATAAAATAAAAACTACTTAAAGAAAAATGGATATAATATAGTAAGAGAAAAAAATGACACTGTTTAATTATGATAATTGTCCTTGTAAAAATAGAAAATGTAAGTCTGTCGTGGCACTAGCTAATATGTTACCTATTGATGTGTGTAATCTTATAGGTGGCTATATTAGAGTAACATGTTTTGATTGCTGGTATTTGATGGATGAAGAAGAACATTTTATGAGAGATAAAGACATTCCTGAAGAAGGACTGGAACAAGCAGAACTTCAATTACAAGTTATTAAACTAATGCAAAATAATGTTGTTACACTACTAGCAGAAAACCAATATAGTATAAAAATAAGACATTACAGAAAACACATTGACCGAGTATTTGATATACAAGAAGTTAAAGAACGGTTTAAAAATAGAAAAATGTATTATCAAGCATTAAAATCATACTGTAAGAATAATGAAAATGAAGTTTGTATCATTTTAAGAAAATGTCTTAGCATTGAAGAGATAAAAAAAATTAAACGTTGTGGGTTTAGCTTTCCAAACCTAAACAGTTGGTGGTCATATAGAAATAACAATTATTATATCAGATATATTCTTAGCGAACTAATTGAAATTTACACAGACCAATTAATAAAAGGATACGAGCATTATTGTTGCGAGTATAGTATGAGTTGTTATAGTGGTCTGGTGAGATTGAATACGGGTCAAATTAACTTTTGTTTATTAACACTATTATCTTATAATATGATTAAACATTGTTTTATAATCTAACAAGAAGGTTAAGACATTTAAATTAAACCTGAAACCCAGACCAGCCGACCAGCAACCCCCTAGCCAAAACTACTTAAAGAAATATTACCTTATATATTAAGAGAAAAACGAACGGTGATGGAATCAATAATTATATCAATAAAAAATGCTTTGATTGTTGTCACTTCAGAAAAGAAAATATGGAATTGTATAAATTAAATTTACCTAATGAAATAGTGAATAATATTATTAATTATTCAATGGATGAAAAAGACGAATGTGAAAATTGTCAGGAATGGAGAGATAATCAATTTTTAATCAAATGTCTGTTGAGAATAAAAGGAAAACATAGTAGAAATGTAGAGGATGATGTTTTAATATTTCTAACTGTAAATAAAATACCACCTTACGATTATGTTAAACAGTTTCTTAAAATCAGTAAGAAAAATATGACATGATTTATGATATATTATGGATGTTGGGTTATAGTCAAGAGAGGAGACGATGTTAAAGAAAATATCAAATTATTTATTGAAAGTAAAAAGTTTAATGTTCAGAATACAGTGAGAGATGTTAATATTTTTTTTAAAATGCTGTATGAACGAAGTAAGACAAATCAATTAAATTATTATCCTGAACTGAAATTATAATCATAATATAATAATAACATGTAAAATCGTATATGTTATAATTATACTGAACTGTTAACCTATAAATGAAAATTAGTGAGAAAAACACTAACAAAACAAATACACCATCACCACCTCAGAACTTGATAACTACTAAAAGTGCCAACTCTTTCAAATGAAAAAAATGTCGGCCCCCAGCCCAACAATGAACAAGGCGACAATTTACCCAAGTGATTACCTTAACGAAAACGATAAATAAGCTCCCTAAAACACCCCTTTTAAAAACGAATAAGGGGGAACACAGATTTGAGATTAACATAAAAACCAGAACAGGCAACCATCAACAGGCCACCCCCTGGCTAGCCCCTTTTTACCATTTTTTTTGGGGGGGGGGGTCAAAACCTGGGTAGGGTATCAAAAACAAACTTGTAACAATCAAACATATTGCTTTTATTGATTGCTAAAAAGGTGTCTCTCTTCTTTTATGGTCATCCCGTCAAAACTATGGGCCCCCAACTGGCGATACCAAAGATCCGAGCGGTCAAAATACGCGCATCCAGACAGACGGACATGCCCCGATCTTTGGAACCTCACACGGGCGCGACTTTTTTTGTTGCCACGAGGATTTCAACCTACGGAGGACCCGGCCCCCATTCCATCGGCCCCAGTTCTGTGTGAGCATCAGGCGAACTCGTTGTACCCCATTGCTTACAATAGCCGACCCCGCGACCCGTCCAGTATGGAGCTCGCCAAAGGGTGGTCATTTTTGGAGGAAATCAGCCCGTCTTGCGCAGATATACCATCCTGGTTCACTGACCGGCCCGCTCGCCGCCTTCTCAACCTCTTGCAGGCTGTACTGCTGAGTCAAGCGGCCCATGGAGGCGTTCAAGAAACTTGACACTAGTCTGACCCTGCGGTACTTGTCGCAAGGATGGGGAAAAGGACTGAATAGCTTTGGCTAGAAAACTCTGCTGGCCGGTCTCAAACGCCTTCCCGCTTCGAGCCCGCAAAGCGCAAGCGGAGCTGCAGCTTGCAGTTGCCCCATTTCCAGATGGCTCAGGGAATCCAATGACGCCTCCCTCCATTTTGTTTGGTGGTTCCCGCCATCCAAGAAAGGTTTTCTGGGTTGAGATAAGTATCCTCGCAGCCTTCCCCCTTTCGAGGCAGAATCTGGCAACAGCAATTACTGAGTGCAGGGCCACCAGAGGCCACCGTCGCCTGGCCTACCGATCGGATGTGACAGCTGCCATGTTGCGCTGGACCTCGACCTCTGATTTTCTGCGAAGGGCCCCGAGCTGGGCGATTTGTTCGAAAGGCACTGGAAGCTGTGAAACCTCCCAGGATGGCCGAAAAAGTGATGATTTTGTGCATTTTACTGATTGCAAGCGGGAGGGGCGAAGCGCCCTGCCGCAATTTGCAGCCCTGACTGAAACTACTGCCCCAGCCTCTGGCAGCCTCGGAGCATGCATCCCACCTCGCAAGCAGACGGACAAACAAACAAACAGACAGACAGACAGACAGACAGACAGACAGACAGACAGACAGACAGACAGACAGACAGACAAACAAACAAACAAACAAACAAACAAAAACACAAAAAAAGAACGCAAACACAAACACACAAGCAAAGACACCCGCACGCACAAAACGGAAACTCAAAAACACAAACACACACACGAACACACACGAACACACACGAACACACACGAACACACACGAACACACACGAACACACACACACACACACACACACACACACACACACACACACACACACCCACACGCACACGCACACGCACACGCACACAAACAAACAAACATACAAACACAACAAACACAACCAACACAACAAACACAACCAACACAACAAACACACAAACATAAACAACACACAGACACAAAGACACAGAGACTCAAGACACAGAGACACAGAGATACAGACACACAGACACACAAACGCACAAACACACAGACACACAAACACGCACGCACGCACGCACGCACGTCCGCACGCACGTCCGCACGCACGAAGCGCACGCACGTGTGCGAACAAACAACAAGTGGCATCTAACATGATTGGGCACTAAAGCTCTGGGCTCGTCCAGCAATCAAAGAAGCGCTGGACAGTCGCTGTTTGTGTTTGCATGCATTGTTCGTGTCCGGAAAAAAAGGCATGCATGCTACGTAACTGTGTTCCACGATTTCCTTGATGTTGTCTCGTCCGCAATCTGCTTCAACCAGCCCTCGGCTTGCAAATAGTTTCTACTGCATAGCTGGCACTTGCTGCATTTCATGCCTTGTGCTTGCCGGCTGCCCGCTGTCCAATGTTCCGATGATTTCGGGATTCAACAAAAATCCTCAAATGCACAGACACGGCGCCAAAAGCCGAAAGCAGACCACATCAATGGTTCGGCCTGACTTCAAGGACGGCATTTATCAGTTGCAGTGTACCTGATTTAGGCTTAGCGACTAGCAGCAGAGCGACGCCCGCCCCATGCCCTGCCTGTCTGGGTCAGGACCGGGCCAACATCCCAAGCTGTTTCTCCCCAGAATCTTGCTTGCTTTGCGTGGCATCCGCTGGTTCGATGCTGGCGCAAGTCGTCAGACTTGTGGCTTGCATGCCCTGTGCTGCTGGTCTGCTAAAGTAACCAAGAAGTGAACTCATGTCAAAATCTGCGCAGCCGGGTGAAACTCACATGGCTGCACAAGGCACGGGCAACAAACGGCTGTGTATGGCACCATGGCCCATAGCTGAAAACCTCAGCATCTGTCACCCGATACGGGACCGCAGCACGAGCATATCCTTGACCTTTAGACTTACCTGAGGAGAGGCCATGCTCAAGGCCCAAATTCGACAGGTTCAGTCAGGCTGAGCCTGGACGGCAGCTCCATTTCTGAGGTCTTCTTTGGAAGTGAGGCATCCTGAGGTTCGCGCGCAGGGTTTCATCACCCTGGAGTGTGTTGCCGAATTCGTCCCGATGTCTGGTCACTTGGGCGAGCGATCTGGGCTTTGGAGGGCCCGGATCGAGGTGCCCCCCCCACATAATACGGCCCTACGGCCGTCTGGAAAATCGGTCCGCCGGAGCAGCGCCCGCATTGGCGGCAGTCCACCAACGAATTTGGTCCCGGAGTGAAACTGGCTTCGTCGCCGGAGGCTGGTGGAGGCCATGCTGCGGCCACACAAAAAAAGGCTCCCAATGTGTTGTTTTGTTGGTTTTACATGTTATATATATATAGACATATATAGACATACATAGACATATATAGACATATATATATATATATATATATCTCAGTTTGCAAATGAACACTTTGATGGATATGAAAGCTCCATGGCCTCGTGGCTCCACCTTCCGGCTCTTCTCACACGTGGTATTCAAGGATTTGCTCAGGCCTTCAAGCGGCCTCAGCTGAAGCAAACCCCCGCCCCTCACCCCAGGACTCCCATGACAACCCACGCAACAACATGCCAAAGACAGCCACGAAAATGCGACGCTTTGCTCATCCGCTTGTAATCGGGACAAGATCATGCAGCACCAAATCACGGGAGGGTGCGCTCCTGTGTCCTTCATGAGCACTTATGGGGGGGGCGCCAGATTGAAAAAATGACATCTGGGTTCATGTCGTATGGGGCTTGCACGAGCGCTGCAGTATGCCGTGGCTTTGCAAGGCAAATACAAAAAGGCCCAAAGGGATGAAGAGCACTGGCCATGGGTACTGAAAACCTCTGGGACGCTTGCAAAACAGTCTGGGTGTGAGGAGTTTCCAGACGCGATTGCCCACCAGACCTCCATTTTTGTTTGCTTGCTCCCGCTCTGCCAGTTTGCCCTCAATGGTCACAGGCCCCCCCCCCCAACCAGCAGCCCACCGGCCTGAGCATGCAAAACGGCGTGTCGCCAGACTCGGCAACTCGCGGACTACTTCGGGCTCTCCGCCTTGGCGGTGGAGAGGCTGAAGCCCCCAGCGGTCTTGAGCCTCAGAAAGCGGGTGGTGCACCTACCCCAACATGGGATCCCATTGGTTTTGACCCACAGCCAGTTCTGTGCCGCAAAGACCCAAAGACTGCTCAAAAATTGAACCAAAAAATGGACCAAAACATGGGTACCCAAAAATGGGTACCCCAAAATGGTACCAAAGGTGTTGACCACCACAGCCACCTGGGTCCCAGGGCAAAAACCTTCCCGTCCGCTTCGGGGCGCCGGCAGCCCCAAAGCCTTGGCCAGGCTCTTCCGCCACGCCTGGCAGCCTCGGAACGGAGCCGTCTTGGACGGGGGGAGGAGGAGCAGCCCCCCGGCCCCCCCCCCAAAAAAAAAACAGGCTGGCCTTTGGCAAAATTCTTGGTCTGTTTGGGTCATAAGCTGATGATCACACATAGAAGTCAGCCTCATGCAAAGGACCGCTGGAAAACCAATAGGATCCAACGAGCTTCCCCGAGCCCACAGCCGGAAAGGCATTCAGAATCTGCGCGGTGCTCGTCGGCATAATCAACAGCCTGGCAGAAGACATGAAGAGCCAGTACAGGTTGCTTTCAAATGATTCTATTTTCACAAATAGCAAACAGACACCAAAAACAAAACACATATACTACACCAACAAAAACAAAACAAAACAAGGGGGGCTTCACAGGCAATCCGCGTATATGCCTGCGGGAGGGGGCGGGGGTCGTCTGGCCGGTGAAGTTTCGCCCCTGCAGCTGGCCAGACCAGGCGGCCGTCGAGGAAACAAACAAAACAATTAACGACGCCAGCATTCTTATGCGCATCCGTGGCACGCAAACACATGTGTCAGCTACAGTGTCAAACCCGCCACACCACGCCAAAACGCGCTGGAAAAGATTCCGTGGCTAAACACAGGCACTCAACCCGAGACAGCGCGTATCTCACCGGATCTGGCCCCCTCACCAGAGGTTCAGAGTCGGGGGGCGCATATTTCACCGGATCCCACGCCCCGAAACACTCAGACCTGGAGCTGCCGCATGGCTTTCGGCCAGATCTTCGAAATCGAACAACCCATCTAACAGGTTTCGACGTCCAGCCCTCCCTGCCTCCAAATGAGCCGTGAGGCACAAGTACTCGCTCATGATGACCCGGACGACATCCTGCTCGCAAGTTCTTTGCTCGTGCTCTTGGTAGTTCTCAGATGATACAAAGCTCTCATTGCAGTCCTGGTTCACCAGATCCTTGTGCTCCTCCTCCATGTGCGACCTGAATCGGAACGTCTCGGCACCAGAGCGTGTGGCAAGACGTGCCCAAAAACGACTGGAGAAGCTCCTCTTGCCTGCCCCCCAGGCCTACTCCATGACTTGACCTGGAACCCATCCCTCAAAAAGAGAGATTCCTGTGAGTATGACCCTCCCTTGCTAATCCATCCATCCAGGGGAGAAATAAACAAACATGTCCTGCATTGGAGTGTGGATTGTAAGGCCTCACCCGTGGTGGTCGCACCATCTGGCCTAGCCTTGCAACTGCCAGAAAGTTTCTTATACAAACTGCATTGGGACTTTATCTTGAAAAGAGCTTGTTTAAAAATATTTCGCTTCGAGCAATCCTCACCTCCACACTCACGAGCTTACGACCGTCAACACGGGTGTGTGAATTCAAGCATGGTTTTCGAGCGGCTTGGGGCCTATGACTGCTCAACAAGCTTTGCATTCAGAGCCTTCTCCACCTGTCTGTGCGCCAAACTCCACTTGTTTGCCGCAAACATCGGTTCCGTTAACAAACGCCAAGCCCCTCCCAAAAAGAAACCCGACGGGGTATTAAACGAAGTTGCTTATTCACAACCCGAAGCAACACAAAAGCATCACCCTTTCCGAGCCTCAGGGACACTCAAAACACGAAGGCGCCAAGATGAAATGTAACCCAACTGTGCGCCGGGCGGGACATTAAGCAAAACCAGACTGGTGAGCTGCTCTGGCGGGAAACTGGCGGGATGCACTACTGGCAAATACTGGCGAGCCGCTCCGGCTCGATCTGGCCGGATACTCGGCAGGACACCGGTAAGGGATACTCAGTGGGATACTTGGCGGGATTCACTGGCAAGCTGCTCTGGGATACTCAGCGGGATACTCGGCAGGATCCACTAGCGGGCTGCTCTGGTGGGATACTCGGCGGGATCCACTGGCGAGCTACTCTGGCGGGAAACTCGACGGGATCCACTGGCGAGCTACTCTGGGATACACTGGCGGGCCGCTCTGGCGGGATACTCGGCGGGATCCACTGACGAGCCGCTCTGGCGGGATACTTGGCGGGATCCACTGGCAAGCCGCTCTGGCGGGATACTCGGCGGGATCCACTGGGGAGCAGCTCTGGCAGGATTCTGGGCGGGATCCACTGGCGAGCAGCTCTGGCAGGATACTCGGCGGGGGCCGCTCTGGCGGGATACTGGGCGGGATCCACTGGCGAGCTGCTCTGGCGGGATACTTGGCGGGGGCGTGGTGTAGAAGCATCGCAAACGCGGATTCTAACATAAAATCTAACAACCCCTTCCTGTCGGGTGGGGAAAAAGACAAAGATGCCGAGACGGAAACAGTTCAAGGCATCAGCGTCTCTGTGTACCAATGGCTCCTTCCTTCAAGTGCCATGCCTTCAAACAGCTTCCACGCTGTTGGTTCTCAACAGTGCGGCAACCCCCAAAATCGGGCCAAGATTATTTTTGGCCTTCCTTTTTTCGCAACCCGGACAAGGGGAGCCCCCAGCACAGTCTACGCTTTGTCCGGAAGCAGCGTTGGGGCTGGATTTTCAACAACCAATCTCCGCGTGCAGATTCCCTCATTGAGGTCCGCCAAACATTGCAGGTTTCCTTTGGATGTCCCTCTTTTGTTTAAACGAGTCATCATCAAAACCTGGCATCAAAATGACGCACCCAAACCAACGAAAAGTATTGGAAAATGCAAAAAGCCCTCGCACCCAATTATTCGGATTGCCCATTCACCCGAAACGGTTTGGAGCGAGTGGCTCAAGCCAACCCAACAGAAGGGGAGTTGGCCACGGGTCAAAATCGAAATCGTTCCCCCCAGTGAACATCTCAATCCAACCACTAAAATAGGTTCTAAAATGGGGTGGTGAATTCACCTACCCCAAAATGGGATCCCAAAACAGTTTGACCCGCAGCCATGTGGGTGTTTCTCAACATTGGAGACCCAGGTAGGTGGAAGCCTTCCATGGGGTTTCCTTTAAAACCCATCCACAAACCGCCAGTTCCGTGCCCCGTTTTGACCCAAGCGCTGGGTGCCGGCGCCACCAGTCGTGGCTGCCCGGCTGCTCTTCCCGCGCCTTCGCGAGGGCGCGCAGGCAGGGCCTGCAAAGGCGGGCTTCGGCATCGGCCAGGGCTGGTGCCCCGTCCCTAGCTTCAGAAAAACTTACAACGATGTATACTATATGTGCATTTAGGCATGCACATCACACATTGAAGGGAGGGTGGCAAAAACGTTGGGGAGGTGCTTCCAGGGCTCCCAGTCCCAGGATTGGGCGGATTCTGCATAAGATGGCCCTGCACCTCTCCCCAGCCTTCCCCCCTCTCCATTTGTTGCACAAAAACACTCGCTTGCTTCCTGTGAAAGGGGAGGAGGAACCCTCTGAAAGCTACATCTTGGACTGCAGCCTGATCCTCTCGTCCTGGTCGTATGCCCAGCGGCCTCGGTTGTGCCCCCCCCCCACCTGAAGTGGGGGGAAGTTGCGGTTTTTTTTTTTCACAGTTCCATGCCCCTCCCTGCGAAAGGGCAAATGGAGCTTTGTATATTTGTGGCAACCCCCACGGACAGGACCCCGCTTTCAGGGCCCCCGGACTCCGCGCGCAAAGGAGCCGGAGAAACCTCGGCATCCGCTTAGATCCTCTTTGGCTGATGCCTCCGTTTGCAGGTTCAAATCCCAAAAAAAAACTAAACCACCACAACATATGCCAGTGGATCTCAGGGGGGGAGTTGCTACACAGCAGACATCTGGGGGACCCCTGGATGGGGGGTGCCTCCTGACATGGAAAGGGGCCACCATTCTGGTTGCCCTGAAGCGGAAACCAAGCCCAGCCCCACCCACACACGGCAAAATGGACTTCTCCAGAAAAGGAACCCCGCACAACTGGGGTTCTTTCCCCTGCCGGCCGGTCGCCGGCCCGCTAACAGCCCGCGACAAAACTGAGGCCAAAAAATCCCGCTGAGGTGGCGTCTCAGTGGCATCGCGCCCCTTCTTGGTCACTTGGTTCAGGATCTCGGCGCGGCCAGCGTGGGGGTCGTCACAAGTACTTGTCACTTTGCACGATCCGGACCATCCTGTCTAAATTGCTGCTTTGGGAACCCTGGTTTCCTTTGGGAGCAACTTCGCAGAATCTCCCCCTCCCCTTCCCCCCCCCTGCCCAGGCCAACAAAACATCGAGACAAAACATCGAGATATCTTGAGACCTCGGCAAAGGCGATCCTTTCACACCTCACATTTCACAACACCTGCCCCCCTTTTCGTCCCAGGTCGGAACATCTGAATGGCATGGTGAAACCCCATGCCCATCGCGAAGCCGGATGGACCAAAACTCCTTGGCCGCAAACCGGATCTGGAAGGCCAGCCCTTGGGGCGAGGCTTTGATTACAATGGCCGAGGCCATGTGGCTGTGGGTCAAAACCCAAATCGTACTCTCAGTGAACGGGAGCCAATCCAACCGCTAAAATAGGTTCTAAAAATGGGTGGTGCACCTACCCCAAAATGGTACCATTGGTTTTGACCCATGGCCATGTCATGTCACGCTCTGACATGCTTGCCCACTGTGCATCCGCGAACTTTGATCGGAAAGAACAGAAGGGAACGGTCAAACTGCGCCTGGAAAGGGGAAGAGCTCTTTCGTCAATTTGGCGTGCTTCTCTTTAAGGAAGGCGGTACTGCTGTTGATTCATAGGTGACATGGATGCTCCAGTTCGCAGGTTGCCGTCCGTCAACGGAAGCCTGCAACATTTCTGCGGGCCCCCAAAAATGGCGCGGCTCAGGCGTACAACGAGAGCTCTTGGAGCATCTCCTGGCTTGAGATCTTGGAACTCCCCCTCCGCCCAAGGTTCTTAGAACCTAAGGTCATAGACAAGTCCTTAGGTCAACAAATGTGCCCCAACTGTTTTGTTTTCCTGGGCTCAGTGGGCCATGATTGAGTGCGCTTCGGGCTTTCGGGAGCATTGGCGGGGACCTGGTTGGGCTCGTTCTGGCACATGGCTCAACCGACTCATGATCCAACTTCGGAAGTCTCCAAGATGCCAAAGACGATGCCTCTGGCCACTGCAAGGCTCCTTGTTCAAGGCCATCTCCATGTCACCTCAGGTGCAGAGAATTTCTCTCCCTGCAAACGGCAGGCCACCGAACAAATGCAAAAAGCAACTCGGGCTGACTGGGCTGCCAGCAATGGAAAAAAGGTAGGCTACCAAAATGCCAACAAGAAATCAACAAAAAGGATAACAATAACAGTGATGAGAACCCAAAAACGAAACGATGTGTTGATGGATGCGCGCTTGAGGGGCTCATGACATCCTCACTGACCATCTGGCCGCCCTTGGCGATCTTCTTCGCCATCTGGTCTAGGAGCTCGGCCTTGTACCTCACACACACGCCAAAAATAAAATTAAAAAAGAAAGAAAAAAATGCCCAAAAAAAAAGAAAAGAAAACGGTTTGTCCCTTGGTTTCTGTTTGAGGCCCGGTACCCTGGCCAAAGGATACCAGCTTTGGGGGATCCCCTAATTTTCAGACAAACCCACTTATTGGGGCTGTGACTTGGCACCAAAAACTACCCACCCGACCGCTTGAAAAAGCCAGGCTAGAAAGGGTATACACCCCCCGTTGTGCGCTGGAAGGGGGATTCTGGTGGCCAACGACGAATCCCCAAGTGATGGACACAAACGTGTAGGTCATGTCCACATGTTGTGCCAAGGCTCCCCATGCCTTCGATGTGACAGAAGGTACAAGAATATTGGTGGCTTGAAATAATGAAGGTTGGGGTGGTGTCCATTGTACCCAAAACCACCAAGTCAAAAAACAAAAAAAGGAAAAACACCAGAAACACCACCAAAAAAAGAAAGAAAAAGAATCGCACCTGGCACGCCGCCTCTGCACTTCCTGGCGCGGTGTGCGTCGTTTTGGCAGCGCTTCCAGCTGAAACTGGCCCGGTCCTGCTGCCTCTCGGAGTCCAGCTCGGCCTTCCGCGCCGCGAGCTCCTGCGCGCGTCTGAAGGCGAAGTTCTCCGCACGGGGGGGGGGCAACGTCAAAAATGGGCCGCGGGTTTACCAGTTCCATTTTGGGGTACATATTTTTGACCAGCCAAATAAATGATCCAACTTGCTTCGGGAACATGGGGAGGCATGTCCCACCATGTTCCAGAAGGCTCAAACCATTACTGGTGGCCATCCAGCGCTGACCAACAGCTTTCCTGCTGCTCTTTGAGCTTTTGCTCTTCGAACTCCAGGTCTTTCCGCTGCCTGCGTCAATGGAACTTTGACCTCACCCCATCCAGCCGTAAGACACCCAGCCCACTTGGGCTTGGTCCATACTATTCTGGCCTTGCCGCAAACAAAATGGTCGCTCTCAGCTGCGCGGTTGTTCAGGCCATCCCGGGGACGGCCACCCCTCCAGCCACCGCATTCCCGGCCTTTCTTCTTTCCTCGGCCCATCTTGCTCACTTGCCCCACATGCACTGCATGCCAGTCGCTGGCTTCAGGCAAAAAAAACACGCTGCCAAGGCTCTCTTTCATCTGCTGGTTGAGAAACTCCACATTTTCCCTGCCGCAAGCGCAACCCGCAACACATTTGAGCCATGATCTGACAAGTAAATGCGGTCCGCATCAATCTTGCCTTCGTTTCCTCGACCGCGACGCTTGCTTCTCTTGCTCCTCCTCTTCACACCCTGTCAGTCGTTACATTTTGTTCCAAGCAGCCCCCGCCTACATGAAAGCAATGACCACCTGCCCCATTTTGAGTATACATGCAAGCCCACAACCAAGTCTGGAGCCAAGCCCGAAAGTCGCTGTGCCATCTTCAGTTGTCACAGCACCCTGCGCAGGTAGACATGCTTCAAGATGTAAGCTAGCAAACATTAAAAAGGTCCAAAGAACTGCCCAGTTTCGAAAATAAACCACGAACTCCAACCACAAAGCCCTGGAAATGCGCGGTAAAGTTGAAGCAACTAAGCAATTTGTGTGAAAGGGGCAGAACATGTTCCACAAAAGCTTCGTCATTTCAGTTCAGTCGCTTGTAGTATTCCACAAAACGTTCAAAAACTGCGGTGAACTGCGGGGCTCTACAAAACCCCAAGCTGCAGTACATGAGAAAGGCACCTGTCCTCCCCAACTTGCAATGGTTTCGAGGCCGAGCCACGCTGCGCTGCGGCACGCAAAGGAGCCAGGGCTCTCAGCTCCTGCTGGATGCGCTCGTTGCCTTAGGCAGATCCCCAGAAAACGTGAGGTCTATTGAAGCCCCACCTGCCCATCCCCCTGCCTCTACGGAAGAAGCTACCCCTCCCCACTCAACGAAACACAAGGGACGGCGGCCCAGGTGCCAAAAAAAAGCCTCCACCCCACCATGAGACACAGTCCCTAGCTTCTTGTGTTTGCTCGGAAGGCACTGCCGAGTCACGGCGATGCAAGCGATCCGTCCTGGCCCCGGCCTGCGCAAAGAAAACCGCCAAGGCGCCAATGGCTTTGCAACTGCCCTTGAATGACTGCTAAGAGAGTGTCCGTCCTGGTTCTTCAGGTGAAGCTTCTCGAAAAAAAGAGATCGCTCCATCTGCGCCTGGCTCTGATTGGTGGGCCCTAGCAAGCTGTGCCCAGTGCAAGGTTGCAGTTGATGGCACGGGTTTTGTTTGTCTGCTTGGCCGTTTCCGCAGGAAATGGATCAAGAAAGGCGCCTCAAGCAAAGAATCCCCTCCCCCCGCCACACCTTCTCTACCCTCTCTCGCCCTTCGCGACGCTGGATGTCGGCCTCCTCCTGCTTCCTGGGGTGCAGGGGCCATGGGAAGAAATGGGATGACGTCAGTGGCACACATCCCGTGTCCTCCGCCTCTCGGTTGCTCTGAACTCCGCCTCCCGCTCCTTCTCTTCCAACTGCTGCTGCCTAAGTGCGCACATGCGCACATGCGATGCAACCTCGTCGGCCGACCGGTCAGAATGCCAGAACATCAGAACCGACGCGCCGATGGTAAATGGCCTGAGGCCCGTGTTCCTCCGCTATGTCTAAGATCCCCACCTCTCCTCTGCCCAAGCTTGCGCTTGAGCCTGGTCCATGAGCCGCCGCACCTCCTCCGAGCGCCAAGCTTTTGCTGCACAGTTGGACAAACGGCTTGTCTGTTGGTCCGTGCGGCTTTGCACACATGAGCCGCAAAAAAACGGATCGCTTGTTTCCCAAGGTGCTCGTCCCCTGGTCTTTGTGTTAAAATCGGGTGGGCCCCCTTCTCATCCTCTCCAAACCTACAGTAGGCTGCCAACAAAAGGGTCAGCCCCTCACGAGACAGGGCTCCCTGAAAACACCAGCAGCCCCGAGAAAAGCTCATGGGCCCAAGAGATGTTCTTGCAACATCACCTTTTGGGAAATACACACATCCGGCTGAACAAACTCTCTCCTTCTTCTTGAGTGCCTCCACCTTGTCTAGCTCCAGCTGACGCTGAGCCCTCTTGTTGTCCTGCAAGGCGATCGGGTTCCCGGTTTTGGTGGTTTCGGACCCCTTGGAAGTAGGCTTGGTGGCAACACTGGTCGAAACCAAACCCTGGCCACCTTAACAGGGGAAACCAAAAGGATAACATTTGAATCAAAGACATTCGTAACATGACAGGGTGGCCCAACCCTTGCACAGCGAGCCAAGGCTAGAACGGCACCCTAAATGCAATCCAAGAACATTCCTCAGCCCGTGTCCAAAGAGAACCCCAGAGATCCCCCCCATCATTCCTAAAGGCATGTCCAAAAGCATATCCAAAGACATCCCCCCCCCAAAAAAAAACTTCCCCAAAGTCATCCCCAAAGCCATCTGCCAAGACATCCCAAGACGTCCCTAAGAGCACAGACATCCCAACAAGATACGTTCAAAGACATGTCCAAGAGACAGATCTCCAAAGACATCCCCAAAAGCCACGTTGCAAGGCACCCCACAAAGACATCTTCCAAGACGTGCCCCCGAAGATGCCCACAATGACAAACCTCCAACGAAAGTCCCAAAAATCTGCGCGACTTCCCAAAGACATCGCCGCGACCACTG